ATTCCTGGGAATTTCCGGAATAACCGTCGATGTAGATCGGGTTTGAGTTTACGTGATGAGTTCGCTGCGGGTTTGGATTCATAAAATGTGGCTTAGGATAAGAGTTTGAAGATTTCATCGGTATTTGATTCGAGTTGTTGCTCATGTTGCTTTGTTGGAACCAATTAGAAGGTCGCTGTGGATATTGCGAAAAATTTGGTTTGACATGCTGATGCGTACTTCTACATTGATTTGAAGTATGGCCAATTTTATTACACAAAGTGCATTTGGGTTGCTGAAGAGGGGTTCGAATATTCGCAGAATGCGATTTAGGAGAATTTAATTTGACAGATTTTTGATTTTCAAAATATGAGAGTTGGAGTTCTCGACGAATCCTTGCTTGGGCTTCTAAAAGTGAAGTGGGATTACTAGCACGAATGAGTTGACCTAATCTAGGTTCTAAGCCTGTAAGAAGTGTATTAAGGGTCATAGTCTCAATTAAAGATATCTGAGCATCTTTTTGCTCTTTGGATCCTAATGTGGTGGATTTTTGAACACATGAATGCATTTTCGCATTTAGGACTTGAAGACGATTGAAAAATGTTAATGCTGATTCATTGGGCAATTGTTTAAGACGTTGAAGGTCATGAATTAGGGAAGGTAAATCTCTAGAATCACCAAAGTGTAGAGTTAATAGTTTCTTTATTTCTAGATATGAATCAGGATTCCTAGAATTAATTAATTGAGCTGCTTTACCGCGGAGCTTATTTTTAATGTGAATCACTAAAAGAATTTTTTGTTGCGTCGTTGCCATATTATAAGCACAATCACACGCGTTTATAAAATTTCCTAAAAAGATTTGGTCGCCCTCAAATTCAGGTACGATACAGAAAATTTCCGAAAGTTTATATGGTTCAACTTCCAGCATTGTACTAGGTTCGTCTGATTGAGTTGCCATTATTTTAGGTTTAAGAAAAAGCAAATAAATTTATAAGAAGTTCAAACACAATTATTTTTTGTTTTAAATATTGCCAAGTTAAACTTGGAGATTAAAATTTAATCAAAATAATTATCGCGGAACGATTCTACGTTGCGAAATTCAATAAATAGGTAATTTTCAACCTTGGGTAATCGAACGTAATAAATTCAACAATGTTGCGAATTAAAAATAAAATTATTCGTAACGATTCTTAACACTTACAGTACTATTTTCATTGCTGCCTTTCGAGACGGTTGATGGGTTTATCCTTGTTCCGGTACGATGGGCTGTCTTCGTTGTTCCCTAGATTTAGGGGTCGGAATCTGCCGCCACTAGTTAGAATACTCGTGTTCTAGCAACGTGAACAGATCCTACTCCGAATTCTTGCCTCTCGAAACGGTGATGGAAGGTTCCTTGTTCCGGCACGACTGGGCTGCGATGGTTCTTCTTTCCGTCTAAGGGATTGGAATCCGCCGTCACTAGTTAGAATACTCGTGTTCTAGCAACGTGAACGGATCCTACTGACTGCGCCAATTTTTATATTTCACTTTTCAAAAATAACTTTTTAAAAAAATATATTTATTAATTTTAAATTAAAATAAAAATCAAAATGAAATTGGACGTAATAACCTCGTGACGAGAGAATGTTATTAGACCGTTAAAATCAAACTAAAAATGGACATAATAACCTCGTGATGAGAGAATGTTATCAGACCGTTAAAATCAAACTAAAAATGGACATAATAACCTCGTGATGAGAGAATGTTATCAGACAATGTTTTACAATAGAAATTCGTATTTATAATAAATTTATGCTGACGTTGACGGGGTCGACGGCTGCGGATGTTGCGACATATCGTTGACACGACGTTTTCGCAATCGTTGCACTCTTGCAGGTCGGTGGCATTTAACCCATGTGGACAATAGGATTTCCGGATATAACATATATATATATATATATATATATACATATATTTATATATACTCTCACGTATTGATTCACGGATGGAAAAATGTGATGACACTATATTCCGGGATATCATCCGTTCGCTCGTTGAACTCGGATTGGAATCCTGCAGACGTTTCGCCAAAATCTCACTTGGCATCTTCAATGCTCGCTCTCCGAAAACACTTCCAGTGTTCGAAGCTAAATTTATTTCAATTTAAATTTAAAATTATTTAGATACACTGTTCAATAGGAAAAACTCAACTACGGAATAGGGACATAAGTCAAAAAAGCAAAATGATAATACACCGTAAAATAAAACAAAAATAATTATATGCCATTTCTTAAAATAACATATTTTAACGTCATGTAAAAAAAATATCAAGCTGGAAACTTGCCGAGTTGCGCAGATTGCATATTCTATGGAAAGCAGAAAATTTTAAAATATTCATACGCGGCGTAGAAAGGTCAAAGATTTGATCTACTCTTGAGGTAACCCTGGAAACCCCAAAGTTCCATTTTGATAAGAGGCCCGGATCAACAACCTGATTATGAATAATTTTGTATAAGAATACCGCTGAGTCACAATCTCCTAGAGAACTTAATTTGTGTAAGTTATATCAATTGGGGGATACTTATTATCATGCCTGAAAGAGAAGAGTTTCAAGAATTTTCGTTATACAGATTCCAGCTTCCTTGAATGGACTTTGTAAAACAGACTGCATATAATATTGCATATAATATAGTATTCCACCTTAGATCTAACAAATGCATAGTACAGAGTCTTTAAAGTTTCTAAATCTTTTAAGTCTCGAGTGAAAGTTTAGGGCCAAAAGTCACATCTAGATCACCTGAACGGTGAAGTACGATGTCATTGATTTGGTAATCATATCTGAATACGTCATGATATTACATTTGATGGAATTTAACGACAAGTTATTACGGACACACCAGTTTTCAATACGCTTCACATTCAATGACAGGTTTTGGCAGTCCTAAATACTATCAATTTTGCAGAACAACTTTAGATCGTCAGCGTATAACAAGCAATTAACATCAACACTATCGACAATGTCATTAATAAAAATATTAAATAGAAGGGGCCCTAAATTGCTGCCTTGAGGAACACCGGATGTTGCGACAGGCACGAAATATAACAAATTGGTGCCGGTCTTTTAGATAGAATGAAAACAAATTGGTTAGAGGTAATGATAATCTGTAATCATTTAACTTAGAAATAAGGATCCCATGAGCAAGTCTGTTACACGCCAACGAAAAATCGGTATGGACAACATTAGCTTGAGACCGCAAATCTAGATTTTCACCTATAATTTGCCAGATTAGTGATGGTGGACCGCCCTTTCATAAAACTATGTTGCTTTGATGTTATACTGTTTTTTGAATGATTGTATAATCTATTGTACAGGAGTGTTTAAAAAAGAAAAATTGCAAAGTAATGAAATGGGACGAAAATTACTCATATCTAAATTGTCACCTTTTTTGTAAGTGGGTCTAACTCTGCATAACTTCCAGATATCAGGAGCAGTGCAAAATTTAAGGCACGTATTCAGTAGAACTGTAAGTGGTAGAGCAAGGACACTCGCACAGTCCTATAAAACAAAAGCCGGAAAGCAATCAGGTCCCCACGTCATCTTATTTTTTGTTTGCTTAAGAGCCCCTAGCACTTCACATTCATTACATCATAGCAGAGTAAGACTTAGCGAAAAAATCAGCAAAAGCATTTAAAATATCAGTAGGACCTTCTAATAATTGATCATTGTAGAACATCCTGTCTGAAATGTTAGTTGAACCCTTTTTATTATTAATACATCCCCAAAATATATTTGGTCAGTTTTCATCTCATATTCAGCAGACAGTGCATACAATTTGTAAGAATTATTAAGATTTGATTTAATTTTGGCCCTTGATAGCTTAAATTTATTGAGAGCATCAAGATCATTCTTAATCTTAAACAATTTTGAATATTTAGATTTTAAGATGATTTGCCTGATTATATGTGTAAACCACGAGCGATATTTTCGACTACGGGTCGTATTAAGCTTAGGAACATATTCATCGAAGATGTAAAGTTTACCGTAAAAATTTGTGCAAGCGTCATTGACTTTGTCAAAAGATTCAAGGAAGGTGCAATCTATATTGGCAATTCCGGAAATTATAACCATTGCAAGGTAACGTGGGAAAATAATGTTTTAAACTGTGACTAAAGTTCAGCTTACAAAAAACATTCAACGCGGGATGTCCTCAGACAATAAACGATCAGTAGACCTGTCAACCATGCAGATGTTATTATAAAAAAAAGGAATTATACTGCGTTAAATTGAAAACGAGCAGAAAGTCATTCAATGCTGAAATATTTGCATTTCTCAAGTTAACCCAACATAGAGAAGAATATCAAACCACAAATAGAGAACTACGGAAAACAATAAGAATAGAAAATAACAACTTCTGGGAGAAAAACTGCAATCGTATTGAAAATCTGATGGGAGGAGTTCATTCAACGGAGGCATGGAAAGTGATTATATTAGACGACGCGTAAGAATATCACGATTAGAAAGAAAAACCAATGAGGAATTAAGAACTCGAATGAAAGCAGAAGAACCAGTGTTGGATCGACATTTATTAAGAATGCCTGAAGAGAGATGGCCCAAAAGAATATTTCAGTGGAGACCATCAGGAAAAAGGAAACGAGGCAGACCACGTAGATGGTGGAATGGAACGATCAGAAGATTGATGAAACCACGAAATCTACAGGAAGAGGACGCCTTGGATATAGAGGTTTGGCTAGGGATGACCGGAATGCGGCAAGATGCTGTCAATAGTTGTATATCTTGTATTGTAACTATACCCGTAATATGTATATGGTATTGCAACAATATTTTATTTGATTAATTTATATTTATTATTAAACGTGTGAAATTATTGTTAGTTACGGAAACATTTGCGTCGTATTCATTGAACCTACAAGGTAAAAGATAACAGGGAGAAAACATCACGAGATTCCTTGCGATTCTTTTTCAGAAATCGAACCAATCAGTCCCTTTCAACTACCCATTATTGTAATTTCGAAATACTTACTTTCTCGGTGAGCTTGGCTTCGCATCTCATATGCTTTGGTTGGGGTTGTTGGTAATGGAATTTCTGAAAACAAAAATAGAAATAACTTATTAAATGTCCGATTTCTAGGTTTCAAGGGCAGCGGTTTGATTTAACTACTGTCACTAGACGCGTGTGCTATATGGTGTCGATATTAACAACGATATTATAGCGAAATTGTGAGTACATCACGAATAAACAAGGCGTAATGATTCTCGTCCGACAGCGAACAAAAAGTTAACGACACGATATAAGAAAATGTTGAAAGGTATCGCAGAATGAATGGAATTAGAAGAGCAATATCACATTTCAAATTCTGCATTTAAAATGTTCGTAATAATTTGTGCATCGTCTGGCGGTGCACCGTCTTGTTGGACAAACATTTGTTGCAGGGCTCTAGTGGAAGGTTCATAAGATCACCTGGTTGTACAAGGTTTAAATATCTCGCAGAATTTTAGTTGTCATCGAAAAAATATAGCCTAGTTTTGTGGATACCCAAAATACCAAGCCAAACGTTAAATCCCCACCGCACTTGATGTTTAACTTCACGAGGTAGCCACAATTAGCACATCGGCACTCATCCGACCAAAGGACTTTTAAGAAAAAGTTTGCTACCTCACTATATTTTTAAATAAACCATTTGCACAATTCCATTCTTCTAACAGTATCGCCATCCTGAAGTGCTCATCAAGATCGTTCACAATAAAGATGATATCTATGACGCTTAATAATACCATTTCCTGTTGACCGATGTACGAGGTGTCTCAACCAAACTTTGCGCAAGACCAAATTTTTTTTAGTTTCATCCAGAGGTTTGTCAGTTTTACCTTAGCACAACTCACATTGCTCCATCCATACTTTACACAATTTCAAAATTGATTAATGTGTATACTCACAATTTATTAACTTCACATAACTGACACTGACTGTTGATAATTACAGATCACCTGGGACGTTTGGTTAGGAAAGATACTAAACAATATTTATTTAATTATGTGTGTATTTATGTTTAAATCTAAAATAAAATTACAAATTATTTCTATTACCTACTTGAATTAAGTATGCCCTAGATTTTTTGCATAATTATCACAGACGTATTTCTTTTGTAGGTTCAACCTTTGTAGAACCTCAATTAATTGCTTTTTGGTATAATTTTCGTGAAAATAAATGTCGTAATTATACATGTAGTTTTGGATTGTTGCTTTTGTGTCACATGAGGAAGGGGTTTTAGTCAACTGTCTACTGAGATAAATTGCATTGTCCATTACATTTTCGCTATCAGGAGGAATGTTTGGAACTAGTTTGTTTTTAAACCAATTTTCAAATAAATCAGCTGTGGTGCCTTCATGGTAATCCAGAAAAGATTCTTTAATATTTTTGGCAGACAGAGAAAGTCCATTTGGAATCCAACCATCCTTAGAGCCGGCATGCAAAATTGTTATTCTTTTACCTCTTTTTGATGGCGCGTTTGTTTTACACTTATCATTTGAGTCAACCCAACCTTTTTCCGGGATATCGGAAGTGTCGAACCAGGTTTCTTTGTTGTTTTCTGTAAATCCTAATTTTTTCTAGATATTCAAGTCGCCATTTTCGAATTTTAAAAGATTCCATTAAAACTTGCCTTTTGTCAATTTTTTCAAATCTAAAACCCATGTGTTGAATACACTTCCATAAGGTAGTTCTGCCACATTTAACACCGGTTTCATCTTTTTCAAGCCTATTAATTAAGATATCTAATGTAGGCACGCTTTGCTCCTCGTGTAACTGATAAATTTAACGCCGTTTTATATCTTGATCACTTTCATCTACACTCGAGAAAATATCAGCATCGGTTCTTTTTTTTTTCTCGCTGAAATGGGATAATTCACAATTTTCCATACAGTTGATGTTGGAATTTTCGTCAATGTGGCCGTTTCTTCTAAAGATGCTTGCTTTCTGGCTCCACGTTCAATGAGAGTCAAATAAACATTATTTATAACTTCCTTAGTCTCTGTATAGAACCTCTATACACCTTCGTGTGTGGACTGTATCTTGCTCTCGTACCGTCAAACGCACTTTCCCTTGTGGTGGTCAGTTCGGTACTGGCGCGCTGGGCGGCACCCCTTCGGCTGCACAAACGGTCTGGCACGCACTTGGACCGTGATTGATGCATGATAGTCACGTGACTCTGGCGTGTTCACACATAGCGGGGTTTCACATATAGCAACGAAAACTAATAGGTTCTTAACATGCCCCCCGCCTTGAAAGAATGTAAGTTGTTTCAAAATGAGAAAGTTCAAACTAAACACTTATTACAATGGTCAAATGAAACTTAAACATGATGACAAAGTGACAGGTAGAAAAATGAAAAATGTAATTTAAAGGTCAGTAGTTGGAAGCGGACACAACTTTAGGACAGCGCGTTTTATCACTCCCGATGTGGTCTTGACTGGAACGACGCGCACAATATTGTCACTACCTGGATGAAGTTCAATTATACGCCCTAGCCGCCATTTGAACGGGGGTAAATTGTCATCGCGAACTAAAACCATTGTACCAACTACAAGATTATGCTGATTCTTTTTCCATTTAACTCTTTCTTGTAATTGACCAATATATTCCTTCGTCCATCTTTTCCAAAAGTGTTGTTTAAGGACTTCCAATTGTTCAAAGTGAGAAAGACGATTCAAAGGAATATCCTGTACATTTGGATAGGAAAATGATTGAAGTGAACGACCAATTAATAGATGAGCTGGAGTTAACACCCCTAGGTCGTTTGGGTCAGAAGAGAGTGGCGTTAGAGGTCGAGAATTCATTACGGCCTCTATCTGCGTGAGAACTGTGTAAAAACTTTCAAATGTTAAAAGGACATTAGATAGTATTCTTTTGATGTGATGCTTCGCTGATTTCACTCCTGCCTCCCAGAGACCTCCGTGGTGAGGCGAGTAGGCTGCTATAAAATGCCACTGTATATTTAAGTCCAATCCGCACTGATTTTTTACAGAATCTGAGTTATTTCTTAAAAAATCGCTCAATTCTTTCAACTGATTACTAGCCCCCTTAAAGTTGGTACCATTGTCAGTATATACGTTGGTTGGTCTACCCCTGCGAGCTATCAACCGTTGAAATGTCTCTAGAAAGGCTTGTGTTGACAATTCAGTGACAAGTTCGAGATGAACTGCCTTGCTAGTCAAACAAATAAAAAGTGCGAGATAGCATTTTTGTATTTTACATCCGCGTCCCTTGTGATCTTTTATTTGGAAAGGGCCGGCGTAATCAATGCCTGTGTCTGAAAAAGGTGGCCATTATTGGAGTCGGAATAGTGGGATTAAATCGAAAGCACACAATGCATTCTCTTACAATGCGCTTGGCAAGATTTCTACCTGCGACTGGCCAGAAAGTTTCCCTGATATGGAAGAGAAGTAATTGTGGGCCGCAATGCAGAAGGACTTTGTGTTCGTACCTAAATAACAAGTAGGTAAAATGATGTTTTGAACATAAAAGTGCTGGGTGCCTTTTATGAAATGGGTATAATGAATGTTTAAGTCTACCTCCTACACGAATTAGACCATCGTCAAGAAAAGGGGTCAAGCTAAGAAGTCTGATTTTTGAGGAAACCTGATTTGACTTTGAAAGTTCACGTATTTCCCTTGAAAAGCTTTCGCGTTGAGACAACTTGGTTAAAACTTCCTTTGCATGACGGAGTTCGAAGATTGTTAAAGGTTTGTGATGTCCCTTGGAAGACTTTGTTTTGCATGATTTTAAGATTGATGAATCGTCCTGACACAAACGTACTGCCTCTTCGAAACTGTCAGCTCCAGATAGCAGATCATCGACGTAGAAATTCTTACTGATGACTCGAGATGCATGAGGATTCAATGATTCGTATTCGATAGCTAACTGTTTTAAGCAGCGTGTGGCTAGAAAAGGAGCACTTGCCGTGCCATAAGTCACAGTATTAAGAGAGAAAGTTTGAAGTTCATCCATGGGATCTGCTCTCCATAGAATAAGCTGCAAAGGATGATACTCCTCTTGGACTAATATTTGTCGGTACATTTTACAGATGTCTGCAGAAATGACATACTGGTGTTGCCGAAATCTTAGCATGATGGAAACCAGATCATCTTGTACCACAGGCCCAACCATCTGGATAGAATTGTAGAATACACCTGATGAAGAGGGAGCTGAGCTGTTAAAGACTACTCTAAGTTTCGTAGTAGAGCTATCCTCCTTTAGAACGCCATGGTGTGGTGAATAGTATCTAGGTTTGGAATTGGATGAAGCAAAAATTGACATGTGGCCTAGATCGTGGTATTCGGTCATAAAATCTGTGTACATGGCCTTTAATTTGGGATTTTTCGAAAGTTTGCGTTCCAGCTGCAAGAATTGGTTTGTTGCCTGTAACTTGGAATCCCCTAAAACTTCTGATGATTTCTTAAGTGGAATGGCTACAGTGAATCTACCATTTGAACCGCGCTTAAAATTATCAGAGAAGTGTTTTTCGGCTTGAAATTCCTCATCCGACAGGATCGGCTCACTTGACAACTCTTCGATTTCCCAAAACTTGGCTAACTGCTTTTGAACATCTAAAGTGGAGAGATGACAGAAAGAATGATTTGGGGTGGAAATGCCTAACGGACCAGAAATGAACCATCCTAATCTACTGTTTTGTAGAATAGGCTTGTGTGACCCGAGAGATATCTTTTCATTATCAAGTAAATCCCAAAATGTATCTGCGCCAATAGAAGATCCACTTGACCTGGTTCATGAAATTTAGGATCGGCTAACTGACAGTGGGATGGTATTTCTAACTGGATGGGATCGAAATAGCAATTCGGTAATTCACCCGTAATTTGTGGGATAACTAAACAAGTTAGTTGTCTTGAAAACTTGGAATAACAAGATTTGAATTTGACAAAGCATGAGTGTTTTATGCTGGAATTGCTTTGACCAATGCCTAAAATTGAGGAATTGAATTTGTGTTTTTCGACACCTAACTTGTTAACAAATTCTGAAGTAATAAAGTTAGACATTGAAGCACTGTCAAGAAGTGCTCTGCATAAATG